CACCTCACTCCACTCCACTCCACTCCACTCCACTCCACTCCACTCCACTCCACTCCACTCCACTCCACTCCACTCCACTCCACTCACTCCACTCCACTCACTCCACTCACTCCACTCACTCCACTCACTCCACTCACTCCACTCACTTACTCACTCACTCACGCACGCACGCACGCACGCACTCACGCACTCAATTACTCACTCACTCACTCACTCACTCACTCACTCACTCACTCACTCACTCACTCACTCACTCAACTCACTCACTCACTCACTCACTCACTCACTCACTCACTCACTCACTCACTCACTCACTCACTCACTCACTCACTCACTCACTCACTCACTCACTCACTCACTCACTCACTCACTCACTCACCACTCGTGTTCGGTTTTTGGGTTGGTGTCGGGCTGGGCCCAATTCTGCTTGACTGTCAGTGCAGATGTCATGGTGTTGGTGTATTGGCGCGGCCTCAGATTGCGGCGAGTTGCAGTGGCAGGTGGCAGCTATGGATGCCCAAGCGCTCACAGATCTTAGCTGGGCACTGGCAGTGCTGAACCACAAGGACAACAAGCTGCTTGCAGGCCGAGCTGCGGGAAGTCTCCTCTCTTTTTTTTCTGGGCTCACTGCCCAACTCGGGTTTGCTTCAAAATGCGAGGAGCCCGAACTAGGCGCCATGTTTTCTTCCGATCTAGTTTCACGCTGACGCGACGCAGCCGGCCACCAGCACCCTGCCCTTTCTTCCCTTACTGTTTCCCTTCACTTCCTCTTTATTTCCCTTCATGTCACTTCACGCACAGCCCTTCCCCGGAATTTCCCTGCATGCGCATGCCTTCCACTTAATTCCCTTCATTTCTTTTTAGTTCCCGTGGTTTCTCCTCACCTCCTTTCAGTACCTTTCATTTCCACCCATTCCATCAATTTTCACCCATGGTCCATGCGTTTTCCTTTCCATGCTGATGCCTGTGATGCCGGGGGTGTTGTCCACCGTGGGCAACCCCGCAAAAGGAAGAAGGCAACCGTTCGTTTTATTACTCCGCAGGGAGATGGTCAAAGAGTCGCCAAACCTCGCCTGGACAAATCCGTTAATCCTTTGCCCCGTAGCAGGGACGGCGCAGAGCAAAACGTACCTGCGTGCGGCTGATGGTCGGCGGCGCGGGCGGACGGCCTTGTACCTGAATGGTAGCCCTCCGGGCCTTTCATTTTCTTTCGTTTCCGTCATTTCTCGCAATTCCCTTCAGTTCCGCTTTCTGTTTATTTCCCTTCCTTCGTTTTGCTTCATGTCCTTTCATGTCCATTCATATTTTTTCATGTCCCTCCAGTGCAGTTTCCCTTTTCCCCTTCCTTGCCCATAGTTTCCTTAATATCCCTATCTTACCTACGGTCAGTCCGTATGTAATCATTTCCTTGCATCTCCCTTCATGTCATCGCCTGCTTTCACTTCCCATCATCATGCTCTTTCATGTTCTTTCATTTTGCTCCTTCGTGCCCCTCTTTTGCCTAACCCCTTCGTTTTACGTCGCCCGCGTGCCTTGCATCAGCCGCATCATTTGGAATGCTGGGAATGCTGTCCAGGCACCCCCCTCCAAAAATAACGCACTAGGTCTCTCATGATCGGCCTGGGGCGGACAGCCTTGTGCTTGAAGGTGGCGGGTCAAACCCTTTCAAGAAGACATCTTGTTTCCCTTGCAAGTTTTTGGAGGGACCTTTAGCGTTGATTGCTCGACCGTGCAATTGCAGAAGCGGGATTTGCGAGCGTCAGGTGCAATGTCGCTCGAGGGGGCGTCGGACACCGTTTGCGAAGAAGTGAACCTGGCACCTGTCAGGCCTATGTCACCAGCTCTTCGGCCGGATGGAGGACTTGAGCCCGGCCAACCTGGCCATCTGTGCGTGGAGCTTCGCTACGCTGCCCCTTGGTTGCGTGACAATCCAAAAATCCAAGAATTGCCGAAAGAGTTCGAATCGAGGCACTACAGGGACGACCTGTTGATGAAGCGCCTGAACCGCCAGGCCTTAGGCCGGGACTTCGAGGCCCAGAGCCTGGCGAACCTGTGCTGGGCAGAGGCCACCATGCGCTTCAAGGATGATGTGCTGATGCACCACCTCAGCCACGAGGAGGGGTGTCAGGGAGCCTCAGGTAGCCTCAGGTAGCCTCCCGTTGCTTTCGGCTAGCTTGAAAAAACATGCAGGAAATTCCTCGCCTATCAGATGGGGTTTGAAAACCAGCTTGAAAGCCATGCAGCATCTCCAGGGCAATGCAGGGTCAACCCACTGTAGAATTCTCTTTGATTGCGTGTGGATAACGAAGTTTTTTTTTTTGAAATGTAGGCCCCGTTTGACTGTAAACGCGCGTCCACGCGCGCTTTCCCCAGTGTCACAGCTGTTTCACGTGTCTGCGTGCATGAGCGTTTGGGCGAGGTGGGGGGGGAAGTAATTCTCACGGGCCTATGTGTATGTAGCAGTCGTGGCTCATGTTAGTGGTGTCTTTGTGCTTCGCTTTCATGTCTTCTCATCGTGTCTGCCTCCGCTCCCGCCCAACCTCTCATCTTGGTTTGAGGTTCACCTTGAGTGTATTGATGCGTTGCTGGAGTTAAGTTGCCTGTGTCAGACCCGCTGGTGGCCGCAATATTGTCTGTCGTGTGTGATCCTCGTCGCTGGCATCTGTTGCTGGACATCCTGGGGCTGTCTGACTGCGCCCCAGCCCTTCAGCGGATTTGCGGCGGAAGGCATGCCCTGGCTTGGGGCGCGCTGCTACTTGGATGAGATGACGCCCTTCAAAGCAGCGAAGAAAAATATCTCGCAAAGCAGACGGCGACCTTGAAGAAGGCGGCAAAAGCACCAAGAAAGCTGTGCTAGAAGGCCCAGTGCAAGTTGGTGGCCGGAGATAAAGTGGCCGAAAGGCCGCGTAGCTGCTTGCAACCTGCAGCTGCACAGGCAAAATCGCCTGGGATGTGCCGCGCCAAAGCTTCCATGAGGCTCATGGAAAGTCCGGGCTTGCAGACTTTGGGGGCGTGTGCAGATTCGCGCAAAGCTTGCGTGAACAAGATTGGTTGTTTTCACGAAGTCCTTCATGGACCTCAACCTAGATAGCTCTTGGCTGTACCAGTGATTTGTGTGACGAGCGTGGGGAAGAGCTCTGGAAGCAGCCTGCCAGCGTCTTGTGAGGTGCACGTTTATGGCCAATCGGGCCGTCGTTGTGTGTTGCGAGCTTGCGTCGCCGTAGACAAGACAGCGCCGCCTCCGCGCGTGCCTACTTGTCCGTTGGAAAGTGACCAAGAACCCTGCAATGTTGCCAAACCTGGCTTCCAGCGCCTTGTTGCTGACTCAGACTGAACAGCTCTGCCAGATCTCGATGAGAATCACCCATTCATCAGAAAGCCGTAGCGCGCATCTGCGCTTCTTTGCGCAACCCCCTGGGCTTTGCGTTCCGTCGCCTGTCTTGATTGCCTTCTGTCTTCGCAATTGCGTGACGCGCAGTTTTTAGCGCAACAGCTGCGGGTATTGCTGAGCATCCCCAGCATCTTCAGGAATAGGAGGGATATGTGTTGCGAACTTCTTGCTGCAGTTGTGGTCAGTCACGACGGCTGGTTGGTTTTGTTCCGCAAGTGCATGCAGGCTGAGCAAGAAATATGCTCCAAAGGCGTTGGCGAAACATATGCGTTAGCCGCTCGTTGTGAGCGTGTTCGTTTTGACGTTCGTCTCACGCAAATCATGCGGCTCGCTGCAGAGGGGCTCACAGTGCAAAGGTTAACTCTCAGACAACGCCCTCGCTCAACTGAATATTTGCTCCGGAGGCACTGGCGGTGCAAACATCAGCGTTTGTGCCCAGTCCCGGACTGACAGTTCGCCTTGCCCTCATCGACCACTCTTTAGGCGTCAGGGCCAGTCAGTCTTGGGTAAACAATTGGATGGCCAGGGGAGGGAAGACGCCCGAATATTTTTCAGGTGGGTCTTGGGGACATTGGACATGATGTGGGGAACAAAACGGTGGTTGCAGGGAAATGTGCATGGCCCTCAAGTACTCTTTTGTGATTTCCTGTGCGGCTTTGCGCAATTTTCACCAGGCTCTGCGGAAGATGAACTCTTTCTCTCCTCAGCACTTGGCCAACACTGCCTGGGCTTTTGCCACGCTGGGTCGGCGTGCCGAGGTGCTGTTCAGGGCTCTGGAGCAAAGGGCGCTAGAGTTGCTGGAGTTTGAGAAGGAACTCAAGGTGATCTCTCTCAAAACGCTTTGGGGAGGGAAGAGATATCCCTTTGTGCAAGATGTCCTTCCAGAAACCCTCATTCTTTTTTAAACCGCACTGTATGAGGCACTTCCTCAAAACAGCTGGGTAGCGGAAGGTTAGGGTGCAGGACAGGCCCTTTCGGTTTTTTGGTTTCGATTCTGTCGAGCCGCTCTGAACCACCAGGTTTGATTGCAAGTGTGAATCGAACGGGACCCTTCAGACAAAGCCATCAGCCTTCAAAAGCAACAGTTTCTCGAGGAAGACTTTGTGCCCTTGGACCTGGCTTTGTGCGCCTGGTCCTTCGCCTGGCTGGAGCACGCGGGCCCAGACTCGCTGCTGCTGCGGAAGATCGCCCAGGCGGCGCTGAGGCGGCTCGAGGAGCCGACAGACCCCCGACGGACCCCCGAATAGCCGAACCACAGAAACCGCCGAAACCCCGAAAGCGGTAAAAGAAGAGACACCACCTCGTGGTATTGAACCTTCCATTTTGTTGGACACATATTTATGGTTTTGGCTTGTCAAAGTGTTGCTTGTTTTCTTGGTATGGAACTGTGAAGCTCGTCCTTTTTCGCTTAGGCGAGAAATGGACATTCCCTGGAGGAGTTTAGCACCCAACAGTTGGCCAATATGCTTTGGGGCCTGGACCACGCCAACTACGTTGACCCAGCCTTCTTCCGGGCTGTGGCGAGCTGGTGCTGTGCCAGGCCAATGCGCTTCTGGCACAAAGCAGCTGGGGAGGAGCGAGTGTTTGGCCCCGTTTCGAGTCCAGTGTTTGGCCGTGTTTGATTACAGGTTTCTGGTCAGCTTTATTTGCTCACGGTTTGATCCCGAGGAGCTCGTGTCCATCATGACGGCGTTGAGGCCCTACGCAGAGGGAGGTCAGGCCTGGGGAGAGCTGGAAGCCTTCTTCACGAATGAGACTGGGACCTCTTTGCGGGTTATTTTTTGTATCCTAGTTTTTGGGCTCTTTTCTTTTGCATCACCAGTTTTTCGCTTGCTTGTCCTGTTCAGAGACTAATGTGAAGTGACAATAGAAATGATATCAGTCCTAGGGTTCAGCATTGACCAAGGAGACTTTGAGGCCATTAGCGCAGTTCCTGTGCGCCTCCAACAGCTCGGAGGGCTATGTGCAGGGCCTGCGCCAGTTGAGGACCTACCACGCTGGCGCACTCTACACCAGTTGGCTCCTTCAGGAGCTCGGGATCGCCTTCCTCGGACATGGCGATGCGCGGGTGGCCCAGAAGGTGGAGGACTTGACGAACTTCTACTTGCTGCCTCCGGAGCCACGTTGGTTGCCTGATGGCTATGACGACGACGATGTGCAAGCCAACCGCGCAGAGATCCCCAGCTTGCTTGAGCTGCTGGAGGTGAAGCGCCGGGTGCAGCCTTCAAGCCACTTCATTGCTCTGCACTTGTCGGCCGAGTTGGTTGCAGGCGGTTTGCGGCGCAACATTTGGCGGGTGGTGCCGACACGCCCGCCCCGGCGCTCCGGGCTCTGCTTCGTGCGCGGCGAGAAGCTGGAGGAGCACGGGGATGACGACGACAAGATGGCCGGGATGCGCACGGCGACGCTCCGGGATTACCAGCGCAAGCACCACGCAGAGGTCACAGCCTTATCCCAGGTGGCGGAAGCCATCTCGGAGATACGTGAAGCTGCGTTCGAACGTGAGAGCGAGGTGAGCGGTTGGGTGGAGCTCTTCGTTCCGCATTACCCGTGCTCCAGCTGCACAGGGGCCTTGGTGCAGTTTGCTTCGTGCCACCCGAAGATCACTCTGCGGGTGGGCCACGAGGACTGGCGGCACTGGCTGCGGCGCTTAGACGTGCGCTGGGACAAGGCGGACCCGCGGCATCAGGCGCTGTCCATCAACGCCCGCCAGCTCCGGGACCTGGACCAAACTGCCCCCGATGCCACGGCCATCCCGGAGAACTATCGCGCGGCGCTGCGTCGCACCCTGGGCTCTACCGGGATCGGCGAGCGCGAGGAAGTGAAGAAACAAACCTTCTACTGAGGCCAAAGATGTGCCTCCTGTAGTGTCGCAAAAATGACAAAGCGGCAGATGATTTTGCCCAAGGCATTTGGTGCTGGGCTTGTGCAACGGTCCCACTGAGTTAGACTTGGGAGCGAGCGGCCAGGCTTGTACTTCGAAATTCCCGACAGCTCCTTGGCAGGTGAGGTCGCCAGTCTGGGAGGCAACATGAGACCTCTCTGTTGGCATGCTTTTACATTTTCGTTTCTTGTGGGACTTTGCAGGGTGGTTTGGGATGTTTCTCTGGGCTTGGGCCAGCCACGTGCGTTTGGCAGTTTCAAACCTCATTTTTGGTTGTCACATTTCAAAGTTAGTACTTGAGCACCTTCGAGTGAAAGCGTGGTCTCTTCATTTAAGTTCCGATTGGGCACATGAATCTCGGATCCAACAACAATGCATGCTGCCCCAGTTCGTTTGGGATCATCGTTGATAATGTGCCGACCATGCAAAGTGGTTTTGAGCCATATTTTGCTCCTCCCCTAACCTGTGACACAGACTCTTGCCGACGTGCGGCGGCTTTAAGTTCATAAGGGCTTCTGCGACCTCGCTTGATTCGGCTTTGTTGCCGCCGTTGCAAGGATGAGCAGCGGCAAGTCTTGATTGCAGCGGCAAGTCTTGCAGTTTGCTTCGCAGCGTGTGTGTTACTTGCAGTCTGCTTCGCAGTCAGTTGTTACATTCAGCCTTGTGGTCTGCTTGGCAGCTTTCCCCTCTGGCAAGCGGCGTATGCGCCTGTTTCGTGATCTGCTTTCTATCATTTTGACGGCCCTCCCCCGATATCAGCATGAGCTCTGACATAAGAGGTTTACCGGTGTTTGGCCAATGCCCCGGAGTCCCCGGAGCTCGTAAGTCAAACCAAGCTCCTGAATCTCTCAAGGCGTGTTTTCTATGCGCGTTTGTGCTGGCCACTCTTGCGGCCCGGCTGCGTGAACGCCTCTCAAAAGTTAGCAGTTAACGCGACGCTTTTGCGGTTGGACATGGAACTGCCAAAGCCTTTGAGGCAAAACTTGGGACGTCGATCCCAAGGGCGCATACTTCCACTACACCTCTGCAGACACGAGGCAAGGGCTGGAGATCCGGAACTTCGACTTCAACGCGATCCCGGAAGGCCGTGCAAGAAGTATGTTGCCTTTTCTCAGGGAGTGGCAAGCCCCAGACGGCCCCGTGTCTCTGTTTCAAGGCGTTGCAAGGTGTCCTTTGAGAGTTTTGCGTGTTTCAAGATCTGGGACTACTTTTTGGATTGCTTTCAGGGGAGCCCGAAAGGGCGGAAATCGCTTTCTGCGCGAGGCATGCCGGTCTGCTGCGACGCTTCAGTAGCTTGGCCGTCCAGCGAGAGGGTGGGGTGGGTGGGGTGAGAGGTGGGCTGTAAAATCTGCGCTGGTTTTGTTTCGGAACGTTTGTATGCTTGTTCTTGAGAATTTTCTGCTTTTGGCTGCTTGCTTGCTTGCTTGCTTGCTTGCTTGCCTGCCTGGCTGCCTGCCTGCCTGCCTGCTTGCCTGCTTGCCTGCTTGCCTGCTTGCTTCTTTGCTTGTCCGCTGGCTTGCTTGCTTGCTTGCCTGCCTGCTTTCTTGCCTGCTTCCCTTTTTGCTTGGTTGTTTGCTTGCCTGCTTGCTTGCCTGGTTGGCTGCTTGCCTGCTTGCTTGCCTGCTTGGCTGCTTGCCTGCTCTGCTTGCCTGCCTGCCTGCTTGCCTGCTTGCCTTCTTGCCTGCCTGCTTGCCTGCTTGCTTCTTTTGCTTGCCCGCTGGCTTGCTTGCTTGCTTGCTTGCCTGCCTGCCTGCCTGCCTTCTTGCCTGCTTCCCTTTTTGCTTGGTTGTTTGCTTTCGCCTGCCTGCCTGCTTTCTTGCCTGCTTCCCTTTTTGCATGGTTGGTTTGCTTGCCTGTTTGCTTGCTTGCCTGCTTGCCTGGTTATTTACTTGCCTGGCTTGCTTGTTTGCTTGCTTGCTTGCTTGTTTGCTTGCTTGCCTGCCCGTGTGCTGCATGACTTGTGAATTTGTTTGCTGGTTGTTCGGGTTAGTGCACTAAATTTGTTTTCTTGGTTGCTTGCCAGCTTGCTTGCTTTTACGTTGGTTTGCTTGCTTGCTTGTTTTAGTTTGTTCGGTTGTTTGCTTGCTTGATTTAAGATTGTTTCTCAGCGTTTGTTGATGTTATCTGTTTGATGGACAGTGTTTGAGCCTCTAAATGTCCTTGCCAGCCTCAACCAGTCAAGCAAGGTGTCTACAGCAGGGGGACCAGTGGGAGTGGGCCAAGCAGGATCACCCTAACCAAAGGAGTCTGGTGCGTTTCGAGGCCAACCTGGGCAGCTTCCCCGTGGATGTGTCCAAGCGCGGAGCCCTGATCATCCTGTTTTACTTTTGGTTTTGCGCCACCTCTCATTCCATGACCTTTTGTTATTCAGCCCTTCTCCCAGGTTGACATCTCCATTTTCCTTCGACGTGGCGGTCGACCATCATGTGGGTTTTTGTAAGGTGGGAAAGGGCAACCCCACCCTTTGACACCAGCGGCAGAGAGTCAATGGTTCACCTGTTTCGCCCACGTGTTTTGGTCTTGTTTTGCCTCATGTTTCCACTTCCATGGTTTGGGCCTGTTTCCAAGTGGGTGTTCAGTTCACGGATTTCGTGAAGCTCTTTCTTGGTCCTTTGGCTCAGCGTTGCGCTCTGGTTCGGACATCTTGAAAATGGACCTTTTGTCACTAGTTTTTCTGATGCACTTCACTCTCAGGTACGGAGTCCTCTATGCGGCGTCCCACAAGAACTTGTCCACTGCCGGGGTCTGCTACGCCATCATCCGCCGGGCAAGCAGCCTCAGTGAAGTGTCGGAGTCCATTCGCAGCAAGAGAGACTGGATCACGGAAGCCACTGGACCATGGAAAGCTTTCACCGATAGGACCTGATCTCCGAGCGCACGCAGCTCAAGGCTGTGCCGACCATGTGCAACTGGGTGACGTTTCAGAACGCCCCGAACAAGATCTACAATGTGCCCGTGCTGATGTCGGTGTGGAGTCTTGGTTGAAGTGAAGGGGCTGAGGATTTGTAGACGCTTGGTTGGTTTGCTGATTTGCTTCCCTCTCCAAGAAACTAGATAAAACGAAGAGGGTTTACACCAGCCTCTTGACGTGATTGGAGAACTGATGTCAGGTGGGGTCAGTTCAGATTGTTTTTCCTAAAGACCCCTCGAATATTGCGTTCCTTTTGCCCAAAACAATCTCTGATGCGATGGGTTCTCGTTCATATATAGTCGGAGTGGGAGCGTTCGCCGGGTGCGGACGGCTTCGTGCCGGTGGGATGTGGTCTCCGAGCGTTGCCCGACGGCGGCCGTGCCGGTGGGATTCGTGCCTCGTTGCCCGACAGTGGCCGTGCCGGTGGGCTTCGGGACGAGGGGGTTGGTCATGTGGTGCACTGCTTGGCGGTGGGCCGTGCCAGTGGGATTGTGCTTGTGGGTGCGGACGGAGCCGTGTCGGTGGCTGCGGCGCTTAATCTCTGCTCGCAGCTCTCCTAATCGCATCTTCTGTGCTCGTGCTAGTTCTCGAGTTACATTGTCGGAATTTGTGGTGGGAGCAGCGGAGTGGCCTTCCGGGCTTTCATTCCATATCTGCCACCGGCGCCCTCTGGGTGGCAGCGTTCACGGGTGTGGACGGAGCCGTGCTGGTGGGATTTTGTCTCTGAGCGCCTGACGGTGGCTGCCAGTGTCTTTTGGATTCCACGCTGGGAACTTGCTATTGCCGGCGTCGCTCGTGCGCTGGAGTTTAGACCCCGGAAAACAGTGTATATTTTGTTGGGGGGAGGTTCAAAAGCGAGGAGCCGCATCCCGCCTGAAGCCCTGGAGCGGCAAAAGCATGAATCGTTTTTGTCAGTCACAGAGCTTTGAGCTTGCAATTGCCGGTGTCATTTGGAACACTTGTGCGCTGGCCTTCTCGACCCCCCAAAAAGTTGCACATTTTTTGCGGGGGGGGGGGTTCAAAAATGAGGAGCCTCATCCATGCTAGAAATCTTGGAGCGGCGAAGGTGCTGACTGAATATGCTTACCAGCCGCCACCGGGCTTGCCATTGCCGGTGTCACTTGTGCGCTGGGGTCTGACCGTTTCGCACTTCGCTGTTGCGAGCTGTTTCGCGGCGCTGACTCGGCGAAGCCGTTGGTATGGAGGGCCAGAAGAGGCAAAACCTGGGTGCGCCAGTCTCGCGAAGATGTGTTTGGCAAACTTTTGCAGTTTCATGCCCTCGGACTCGTTTGCCAAGAGCCTCTTCCAAATGTTGAAGCTTTCGGACAGCGCAGGCGGTGAGCAAGCGTGGCTATATGCTGGTCACGCCCTGCGGGGCTCGCTACGCGTGCAATCTGCTGGGCGCGGTTCGCCGCTGCTATGCCACGCTCCAGCATTTTTCCAAAAAACCAGCAGCAGCTTCGCAAAGTATTTTTCAAGGCAGTGCGCTGGTGGAGTCTGAGCTTGAGGAGGGCAACGAGTGGAGTCCGACAAGTGACTTCTGCTTCAACTGTGCATTGAGCGAGTGCTCGCTGGTGCGTGGCACCTGCGGGACCATGTCGAGGACGTCGAATGTGACGAAGACGTCTGAGCGCCAAACGCAAAATGAGCGATAGCCGAACGCTTTGCCTTTGCTGGCGATCCCTGATGTCCGGCTTTGGAACGATCGTAGAGTGGCAGATCTTCTTCTGCGGGTGTCTTTTTTCAGGGGGCCGAAAACAGGGTTGTGGGATAAGACCTGGGCAATCAAAATAAAGCACCAAACTTCAAGCGGCTCTCCGGCCCTGGTTTGAGGGCAGCTGGATGGATGCGATTCCATGGTTGGGGGCTTTATGTTTGGCTTAAGCGTGGCTGACACAGGTCACTTTTAGTGGAGGGGGTGCAATTTTCCGCAGGTTTTTTTCAGAAGACTGCGGCTGTTTCTGAGGCCCCCTCACTTCGCTGTAAGGTGACTCCATGAGCTCATGATGGCATGTGTTGCACCATCTGCTAGCTCAGTCAATTAGCCCTGGTAGGGACAGCGGAGATAGGTTCTCTAGAGCCTACGCTTGCTGGTGGCCCGCAACACTAACTTTTCTACTTGCACCCTCCATAGATCACCAACACAAGCGGCCAACCGGAAAAACAAGCTATGTTAGCGCTGGAGCATAGAAATGTTCTGCGCCGCTTCGAAAACTTTGGTTTTGTTGGGAAAACAGACTTGTTTCTGCTACCAACTAAGCTCTCAGTGCCAACCAGTTGCGAACCTAGCCGCCCCATGACGCTGCTGCACGTTGGCCTAAGATCAACAAATGTAGCTGTGTGCCACAGCCACAGGTACACTATTGGTTCACCACGATCTTGGCAAAGGCAAGTTCCTAAAACGCGGAAAAAGACCGTCGGGAGGTTTTCGAGCGCCAGTTTTCAGCACCATCAGGCTGCTTTTGGGTTTACATGCTCACCTTGTTCTCTGACGCCTTCAATGCCATCCAAATTATGGTTTTTTAGAGTACCACCTCGATGGTTGATTGCCGTTTTGTTCTTCTTGGACAACATTCCGCGGGCTTCTTGCGCGATTCTTGCCGCGCTTTCCAAGTCTTGCTGGTGCAGATTTGTGTTCTGAAACTAGGGCAACAGCTTGCTGTTCAAGAAGGTCCAAGTAAGACGTTCCTGTACTATCCTGCTCGGATCTGCCTGGGTATCTTCGGCTGCACCTCGCTCGAGCAGCTGTCAACCTCTTTTGCTGCCGGCCGCAGCCAATGGGAAACTATTGGGTACGCTTTGCCAAATACCATTTGGCTTGATTTGATTTTGATTCATGTGGGAAGAGTCAAATGCGCCAATGCTGGGTTCCGAACTGGGCGTGGCCCACCGAGGATTGGCGCCCTGAACACGGAGTGGATGATCGAGCGGGGCGGGGTGGAGGCGTTCCAGGAGCTCGCCGTCACCCGTTCCCAGATGCTTTACGTGGCCCGGCTAAGGATTCAAAGAGTGAAGACGCTTCATACTTTTGCAGAACTCAAGGGTGCTTGTGGCGGACCCAGCACATATTTTCCATTGTGGCAGCCCCGAAAGTGAGGTGGTTTTCCTTGGCGACGCATGGAACTCCATTTTGGCAAGCCATGGTTTTTACAAGAACCCCAACCGAATGATTGATTCTACGTGCAGTTCGAAAATAGCATGCCCGCCTCTCACAAAGTAGTTTTGGGGAGCTTCTGAATTTCGCTTATGGCAACCCGGTGGGCATTAGCTATACAAATGGAACTGGGGGGATTGCTGGCGACTGTCCAAAAATAGCACGCGGCCGGATTGCCAGAAAGGTTCTCAGTGTTTGAGGGTTGCGTGACCTTCGTTTCCTCTTTAGCCCTTGAAATTGCGGAGCCTCCTCAAAGTTCCTCCAACATCTGGAGGGTTTTGTGGTGGACTGAGAGCTGCCTGCCTGATTGCGAAGAGAACAGGTTCAGTCAGTTCCTTTGGACGGCCGCCCCCAACACAAGTCCGGCCGCAAGCGCATCCAGTTCAAGAACGAGGTCAACAACCCAGTCCGCGTTCTACCTGTACTCACAAATCCGGCTGATTTCGAAGCTAAGCCAGCGGCGGGGACTCATGCCTGCCCAACTTGCACCAACCCTGTAGTTGTGCTGGGGTTCCGGGGTTCTCCGAAGCTTGCGTTGAGGCTATGTCTGGAGCCGAATTGCAACTGAGGAGATCTCCCCCTTCTACAGCGCAGTGCTGATGTCAGTTGATAACCCGCCCGGAGTCACAAGAAACTCAGAGTGATAGTGATGACCTTGGAGATCCCCTTTCCATCGTTTGCCAGCAAGACTCTTCCTACCACTACGGACAAGCCCTTGCTCGAGTCGTCGAGTTGGGGAACTGGGTTCCCCGTTGATGCCGAAGAAGAGGAAGCCCAAGCTGGGCGAAAAAGGGGGGAGCAGCTGAACAAGGCCTGCATCCTTGGTGGTTCTTTGGAACGCAAAGCTGCGATGGCTGCTGAGCAGTTGCAGCCTCTTGCCCCCTTTTCGTAGCTGGCGGGACATCTCCATTGCGCTAAGGGCCGCCAACTTGGCAGTTGCTGGTTAGGTTTGCTGGAAAAGCCGTGACCGCAAGCGGCTTCAGGAACGTGAGGGGTTGAAGTTCCGGGGCGGTTAACTGCGTTGGGCCAAGGCTGCGACGGCCACGATGCGGCGCACCTTCAACGACGCGCGGTCTGCGGAAGCTGGCTGCTGGAGCTCGAAGAAGACGACGAAGACCTCTTCTTGTGTTTCCTGGCTTGCCGGCGTGAGGCCCGTTTCAATAGACGCAGCGAACAAGGCGTCGGGGATTGTGGGGATCATCTGGATCTTCCCGGTGATCGTCAGCTCCAAGATGTTCTTGGCTGTGCATTGTGGTTCGCGTCTAGCAGCGAAAGCCACATACTTGGCAGAGAGGGTGAGCAGTTCCAGGTGTTTCTGCACATGTTCGTGGTTCCTGGACCTCGTCCTTGTCTAGAACGGCGTTGACCACGCTTGCCTTCGGAGCGCGGTAGGTTTGGGCCCAGTATGCATCCCGGAATGCAGTGAACCTCTTTTTACTCTTCTCCAACCAGAGCGTTAATGACGTGCTTTCTGCGCGCATTCGTGCTTGTCCATGGCGTTCATGGAAATATCGATAGACGTCGCGCCACCCAGGACTAGGCCAGACTGCGGCGGTCGCGTACTTGGTTGGCTGTGGCTTTGTCAACGGCCAGCGCCTTGCCTGATTTCAGACATCCGGTGTGGAACGCAAGTCAGCAGACACTGCGATTGCAGCAAGCGGAGGGAAGTCTTTTCCCGCGAGCAAGGTGCCGCCGCTCAAATCGTCCAGGGAAGAGGCCAACCCAAGAAAGGGCGCAATATTTGGAAGAGGCAGTGGTTTCACTGGCGCTTCGGGCTCCCATGAAACGAGAAGCTTGGCTCGGTCATTTGCAGCCGCAGCAGTTCGTTAGCCCTCGGCCAGGGGAAAAGTGGCAGGACGGGCCAGGTTCTGCACTGCCCGGGAGACTGCTTCAGCTTGTCTTGGACAGAGGTTGCAAGACCGTCCCTGCCATTGCTAACTGCCGCACGGTTGGGAACTTTGCCAGCCTGAGAAGGAGCAGCAGAAGGTTGATGCCACGGCGATCTGCCGAAACTTACGCAGCTGGATAGGTCGCGGAGAAGACTCAGGCTACGCAGACGCCTAGCTGAGAGGTTGTCTATGTCTTGCACAGGCCTGGCCAGCGCCTCAGTGAGTACGTGGAGACATTCTTTGGACGCCGCGCGTTGGTGAGCCCCTACAGCGACGCGAAAAAATGTTTTTCTCCCTTCAGATTTTCTTGCAGGCGGGAAATGGGAAGTCACAGCATCTTAGCATCAGGCATGGCGTGCTGTGTTTGTGCGTTTCTGGAAACGTGCTTGGCAGAACTACCTCGTAGTTTGGCGGCAAGAGATGGCAGCGGTGGCAGCCCTTGCAGCCTGCGGGCGCCGCGTAGACTTCTTGGCAGTGTCAGTGGCTGAAGGACAAGGGTTGAATTTTTGAAGCAGGGCGGTTCAATGCCCGCTGCAAGACTGTGTGCTTGAACAACTTTTTGCAACCGCCAGGATGGTCGCTGGTTTTCGGGCAGCCCAATCGCCCTGCAGCCCTGGCGTGTTGTCGCTGAAACGCTCAGGATCTCATCGACAACTCCGGCGGTTTCTACAACACTTTTGTGACCAACGAGGCCAGGTGACCAGACATTGTTTGCAGCAAGTCGTGTCCGACGAAGCCCGCGTTCGCTCACGCACGATTCTTCTTGCAATGAGGTTGTGTTACGCTAAACGCCCTTACACGCTTGGGTACTGCGCCTCCCTGAGCAAGCGCGCTTTCGACGTAGCAAGGTGGCAGTTCAGCCAGCTTGGGACTGCGCGCGCATGTGCCAAAGATCCGCATATTTTAGCGGCTTTCGAACTATTTCAGAGTGACGGAAAGCAACTCTGTCGCTGGAGTGTGTTAAGTGTGCGGGGCGAGGCCGGGTGGGGCGGGGTCGCGAAAATTCCGCAAAAACGGGCTGCGCGCCAGGGATGCCGACTGGCGCGGCGCTATTTTTTGTGACCTGCCTCGGCGTTGGAACCGGCTGGTTCACGTGCGTGGCCCTAAATAGCACAAGAGAGATGAGCCGAAAGGATCGTAAGATGTTCTAGTTACCTTCAGTTTTGCCGATGAAAGGAAAACTGGGCTGGAGCTCACCTACTTCTGTTTGAGGGACTTGGGTATCAGCATTGAACGATTGTCTTCTTGCCAAGAGGAAAGCTACAAACAAGCAAAGTCTTAAGTTTGTGAGGCCCCTGATTCTTGTAGGAATTTTTAGCGAGTCTCCTCATGTCTGTCTCTCATGTCCTTCTCAAACCGGGGATGCTGGCTGGTTTTATCATGTCAACTTTCCGCCGTAGGAGCTGCAAAGTGAACCGCTTATTTTCAGGTGCTTTGAGTGGATGGCGTGGTTTAGGTGATTTTTTTGATTTGTCTTACCAAGGGTCCGGTTCTTTGTTGCTTTGCGATTGTTCCCGATCCTGCAGTTTTCTAGGCTGGCGACCGTGGTTGCTGCAGATTACGCCGGGATGATGGGAATGTTAGCGATGCTGTGTGGTGATGCCAGTGCTGGCTGGTGATGCCATCGCGCTTAATCGTCGGCGTTGGGCGCTCCCACCCCTGCTGTTTCTGCGGTTTTTTTTCTGCCCCCCTTGCCTTGCGTTCCCGTGCTTTCCTCTGCTTCCCTTCCGTTCTTTTGCGTTCCCCGCTTTCCTTCCTTTTCGTTGCGCCCTCCTGCTTTTCCCCTCCTTCCCCTCCTTCCCTACCCTTCCCACGCTTTCGCTTCTTCCTCTGCATTCTCACGCTTGCCCTTGCCCTTGCTTCCCTTCCTTTTCCATGCTTTCCCTTGCTTCTGTGCTTCTTTGCCCTTCCTTTCCTAAGAAAAAGAAGTGAGCGGAAAGGTGCGCTGGAATCAGGTGAAGCGCAAGGAGCGCCAGGTGGCAACGCAGCAATCAGATGGCGGCGCAGGTCAAGAGAAATATCCGGCGCGAGGCAGGCGTATCATCATGAGCTGCGTGTTGGCACTTGCAGCCGGCGCGGTGGTAGACCGTCTTTGCATTGGCAGTCTGGCCTGCTTGCTACGGGAACGCGCAGCATTATTTGCAGATTCGAAACTAATCGTGGCAAGGAAGGCAGCGCGAGGCATAACATCATATCAGGATGTGAGTTCAGAGTTGTTTTGCGCCGGTTTGGGTGTATCGCGGAAGGTCAGCGGGGCGCCGCTACTGTGCGCTTTCACAACACATGTGTGCGCGCGCGCAACTTCCATGGTTTTACAGCCATTTTCCGCACCCCAAAGAGCGGGATGCGCCTTGCACATATGTAGGCCTTCCGCTCGCGGATGCAAGTGGTCTTCACCATCGGCGATGGGGCTGGCAAGGGCCACGAGCTCGTGGAGTGGCTTGGTTTACGTGAGAGAAAGCGGCCTTGGCGTTGCTAGCGCTCCTGGTGTGTTTTTGCCAGTTGGGGGCTGTCCCCCGCTGGCAATCTAAATTTTGACCGCTGGACTTCGAGTTCCGAGAATGCGCAACTTTTTGTTGTGCAGTGGCGGAACAACTCTGCAACATGTGTGTTGATGTACCTTTCATTTGGTTGCCACGGCGCCCCGCAAGGCCCCAGTAGACCGTAATGAAAAACCTCATAGACCTCCTAGCTGGCGCTCCTACTGCTACTCTACTACCGCTACCACTACCTTACTGCCAGTGGCGCTGCTGCAGCTCGTGCCCCAGGTGCTGTTCACTGCCCACTGCTTCTGCTAGTGATAGAAGGCTAGTGGCGCTGATCATGATGACTATCGCACACTCCCTGAGGAAGTTCCTCCAGAAGGCCAACGACGAGCTGGGCTGGCTGGACATTCGCTCTCACCCCCTGGGCGTGCCGTCCGACGCCATTCGAGAGCCTCGGCCAAGTTTGGAGCCGCGTTCCTTACAAGTTCAAGGCCCCTCGGTTAAGCGCGAAAAGGAGCCGAGCGTGCCTACAAATTCTTTTCCTTTGTAAGGTGCCGCCCTTGTCGACAAATAAACTCTGGCAGAGGGTGCGTCGCCAAGGCCTGGGTGTTGTTTAGGTGATGACCCTTGACCAGCTGCTTTTTGGGAACCATATACGCTCCCTAACGCATGAGTGTCTCACCAGTACAGCTCGACGCAACTGGCTCAAGGAAAAAAGCGCGCTTTGTTCACATTGATGGTTGTGTGGGTTATCATAAGCGGCTTAGTGTACAGAATCGTGCGCCAGGAGTGCCGATCCTGGATACACCCCTACTGAGGCGCTTCCCTCTCCTCATAATCTAGCGAATGAGCGAACTGGCTAGCCAAGCAAACGCCAGACTCACTACGATCACAAAGTCTTCTGTGGATCCCACCATCAACATGTGGACATTGCCATGTGTGACGCCCAGGTTACTCTCGCAAGGGAAACCCTACGCCACCATCCTTGGCGCAGTTCAATCAATTGAGCACTTTGCATCATGACCCTGCGTTGAATGTTAGACAGGGTTCTACTACCTTCCAGCAGGTCAATGCGACGCAGAACAATGCACAGTTCAATGCATATGTAAATCAGGACACTGGCGCCACACGGTTGCTCAAATCGCTGAGGCAAGGCACGGCGAGATTATCGCTTGGCTCCTGTCTCACTCGCAAGCAAGGATGCTCGAGATTCAACAACATGCTGAACAACCCGAGACAAAGTTTCAGGAGAAACACATAACAGAGTCAAAGGCAATGATGGAGAAAGGGCCAACCAGACTCTATCCCGGTCCCTACGGAAAAGATGGACCCGTTCCCGCTGGGGTCGCTGGAGATGCTGCCGGAGACGGAGGTCCCGGTGATGACAAGGACAAGGATGACGATGTCAAGCATGGAGCTACTTATGATTTCGAGGACTTGCTATCTGTTCAGCTCATCAACAAGGATTTGAAGAAGTTCATTATTCGATGGGATTCCGTCATCACGGGAATGGTGAATGAGCAGAATGAAAAAGACCCTGGAAGCATTGTTCCACAGGCAGATTAAGAAGTACCGACCCTTGGCTCATGTCCTGAACGAGCACGAACGCGCTGAGGAAGGTACGGAAAAGAGGACATATCAGTTCTTAATGAGCGCTGCGAGAAAGCACTTGGAGAGGAAGCGACTCCTTCACATGCGAGATGCAATGTCAGGGAATGCAAGTGGACGGGCTAGGACTCCGAATCAGAACCCTGCTCTTCCCGCAGTTCCTCGAGCGTATTGAATCAAAATCCAAACTGGCCAACGCGCCCTCGGATCCGACTGTCCATGCAAACGGCCAAAAGGGAAGGGGAAGAAGGGCAGGTCGAAACTTTCAGAGCCCCCCAGGTTCCAAGCCGCAGGTCGGTAAGTTTAGGGGGCCACGGTCAGCTGTGGGTTCAAATGTGATTCCGACTTTGGCTGTGATCACCGTATTCCCGCAGGCCTAACGGCCGTGCCTGAAGAACCGAAGGCCTCTCCAAAGAATAAAAGCGCTGCGTCGGAAGAGCTCCTATTGATTCATCACACATCCCATGGATTGCCGCGCGGCCAAGATCTCATTCGATGAGTGATGCGCAGTTTGCAGCCACGTTTGATTCACGTTCCCCATTGAGGCGAAGGACTGCCAAGGGCGGGATTGTTGTCTTAGCTGACGCCCCGGCTGTTCTTTCAGAGCAAATGAGATGTATCAGGGACGGCTATAATTTCGTTTGGAGGTTCGGCGATATGTTCCGTTTTTCCCCGCAGATGTCCAACATGCTTCACCGGCTGTTCCTCGTCGCATCCCAAGGCCAAGGGTCGCCTCTTCCGTCTACGGTCTTTGCAGAGGAAGGGAGCGAGCGAAGCCCAGGAGAAGGTTCCAAGCATGACGTTCCTGAAATTGCGTCGAAGCCCAAGATGAAAGACGCACCTAGAGGAAGGGGCGAGGCGGCCTTGAAGGACGAAGCCAAATCACCTCAGCGTTTGCTGTGTCATATCTGAAACAACCCTCATTGCGAAACTTGCAACCGAGCAAAGATGTTTAAACATCATTCCAGGCAAAAGGCGGGCTCTACACAAGTCGAGGCGAAGAAGTTCGGAGACCGTTTGACTGTTGACCATCTGATCACCTCAGATGAGCGTGAAGCTGGAATAGACCAATCGAGAGTGGCTCTGGTTATTCGAGACGTGGCAACCCATCCGCAAGAAAGACTTCGCACCAATGTTCTATGGCGTTCAAGCATTTCATGAGAACCGGAGAGAACGTGAGCATATTCTATAGTGACCGTGCTCCCGAGCTCGTCAAAGCAGCCGACCAATTGGAATGGAAGCGCGTCAAGTTTCATTGCGGAGCGAAATATCAGGCCCGTCATCGAAGGCGCAAGGGCCAGCTTGGAGCAAGCTGGATTACAATTGCGTGGCTCGCAACTGATCACCCCAATTGTTTTTTGGTGGAAGTTTCGGTTTGGTGAGGAATTTCCTGGACCATACTTACCTTTTGGGTCAAATCAATCACTGGATGGTTGACCGAACAAACCAATGAAATTTGAACTGACTTCTAGGCAGGTATTTTCTGATGCTATTCATCCAGTTTTCTTTGGAGGAATTTCTTGTCATCCGGATGGGACTACCAAATCAAATGTCCGGTCGGCGAGTATGTTTTTTGTCTGGTGGAGAGACATCTTGTGCACAGGAGCACGCCCCGCAAAAACTCCTGATCCAGGTGCAATGGATGCTCTTCAGGACGAGGACTTGTCGGCAGAGATGCCTGGTCACGAAGACGAGATCATCGATGAAGGGTTTCTGAAATTCAAAGGCATAACTGTGTTCCGGGGAAACAATGTTAAAGATGAGAATGCAGAGCAAGCTCTTTTTGCTGAACTGGGTTCTGCTCCTTCCACTATGAAAGCAGCGAAAGCTATCGACGGGTATGGAGCTATGCCTGGCAACCGCACCCAACGGTTGGGTGGAAGACAAACCTACACGCAAGCCCTACACAAAGGCGTTAAAACGTGGGTAAGACTTCCTAAATACCGCTGGCCGAAAGGTGGGCCAGGCTGTTCAAAGAGTATGGACATCCCGATACGGGGGGTTTATGGGAGAAGCGTTGCGCAGATATTTTCACTCCCCTCGGGTTTTTTCTTATTTATCCTGGCGCATGGCCTTCTGTGCTTTGGCATCCTGAGCTTCGACTTTTACTTGCCGTCTACGTGGAAGACTTCAAGATGTCGGGCCCGGTTGAGAACTTGGCAGAGGGGCGAGCATTGCTTTCTTCAAAGATTGACAATGACCCTCCTACAGCGGTTGGCAGATGCCTTCGTTGCGAACACGATGTTGCTGAGAACAGTCGGCTTTGTTCGGACAATCATCCTTTCGCCCACGTTTCGATCATGACCTTGAGGATCCGTCCGGAAAGAAGGCTGCTGCAGCGCGTCGAACGCGGACGGTTGGTAACACTTTCCGGAACACGGTGCGGTGGTGTGTCAACACGAACAGCCACGGCGGGAGTTTCGCCGCACACCTGACGGTGTTGCCGAAGATATCAGTCTGGGATGCGTTCGTCACACAGTGTGCGTACCACGCATGAATCATGAAACCGCAAGAGAGTATTGGCATTTTGATCGGGAAGATGACGCCTTCCAGACTGTTCCGTTTCTCTGGGCGGGAACTACGTATTTCTTTCAAACGTTACTGATGCCCGCCTAGCGGCTGCTGCCGTAAAGGAGCTAAGGGACAAGACGTCTGCGAAAAAGCCTAATCGAGCACAAGCCCTCTACGCATGTGAGCGTGGAAAGGATTGCCCATGGCAGCGCTCGACTGACGTGAGGGCTACTCCTGCCCAACCTTCCGACAAGACCGCTGGTGGCAGCACGCCCAAGAACTCGCCCAGAGGAGACAAAGACAAGAAGAAAAAGGAGGAGAAGAAGAAAGGCAGGCAATCTTCTCACGACTCCAAAGGATTCCAAGGGGCCCCAGTCATTGAAATTTTCAGGCAATGGCGTGCGCTACAACCGTGGATTCGGTCGCCTCGTACCCATGCCTGCCCAGCGCGCAATCTTACAGCATGTGTCCAGCGACGCCATGTGTTTCCAAAAGCGTGCGATTTGTGGAGACAGTGAGTCCGTAGTCCACCTGGGGATTACCAGGAAGAGTTCCCAGTCCAGTTTGTTCCGAAGCACAACAAGAATGCATTGCGGGATGCCCAACGCATTGGTTCTATGCACCGGCAAATGGCCAACATCAGAAGTGCATGGGCGAGCCAAATACAGTTGTCACGTATGACGCAAAACGGGTTCCTCCAGCAATGTTTGGACAGGTATGTCGAGCTTGCAAAACCCTGCAGCTGCAGCCTATTGCGTCCAAGGTTCTTATGAAGGTTCTCTTCGCTGCGAATGGCGGTTTGGTGTATTGAGAGCGACCCAGGGTTTGGCTTCTCGCGTTACCAAACGGTCCGTCGGTTGATGTGCTATATCGAAACCAATGTTGATCAAAAGATGCACGGTTTTGTCGGTGACCCGTCATCGCAAACTCGACTTTGGTGGTTTGCAGATTCAGATCGTGCCGGGGAACGTGATTCCCGCAGCACGTCAGGGTGTTTTCTTGCTCTTATCGGTCCAAACACATTTTACCCTTTGACAGCATTCTCCAAGAAGCAAACATCAACTGCGTCGTCAACTGAGGCCGAAGTTGTAGGCTAGTGTCACGCTACGTGCAGTACGTCTTCCGTCTTCCTGCCCCTGGAAAGTCGTGGGGGCGGAGACCTACTTGCACTATATCCTCATCAAAGACCTCGAACTACTGGACACAGGAAGTGACCCAGGGATACATCGCAAGAGTTCACAATCAGAAGGGAAATGCTTTCTATCTTCCTACCGGACCGAGGCCTTGCCCAGTATGAGGTGCGTGGTTCAGCTATTCGAAGATGGTGAT